GAACAGGTGGAATTTACGCAGCTCATTTACACACTTTTCCTGAAGATAGAAGAGTTTGTTGAATCTGACGTGACATGTTCGTACGAACCCTTTGTATGAACCCTTCGTACGAACAAAAGTAAGAGAAATTTAGGATAAGAATACGAACATGTTCTTGCATGAGGTCCATTGAGTCAAGTGGTGCACATCAATGGATATTTTCAGACTCTTATGTTTTTTTTAATTTACTTATTATTGTATTATAGCCCATCACAAAAGGCAAAACAGTGATATTATTAATTGAATTCATGCGTCTGTACCATTAACAATATATCTTGTGAACCTAAGGACAAAATTGAATGTAACTTCTAGGGTTGTGAAATTAATTGAGTTAACTCTGATTAATTTTAGTGCTGCATGGACATAGATTAAAAATTTTAATCATGATTAAAATTTACAATCACTTTACTATGGCTGAATATTTGTATATTGCAATGCACTCAGTGCCAGGTCATGTTTGTAAATGAGAAGTGGTTCTCAAACAGTTTACCTGGATAAATAAAGGTTTAAAAAAAACTCCATGTGTAACAAATTATGTACAGTTTTTTTTCTTTTTGTCTTCTTATGGCTTATTTTATTTTATTTATGTTTTGCTGACAACTGTGACCTTAGTATCTACCTTTCATTCCTCGTGTAGTTCTCATTTGGAATGAAAATCCTTGAATTCTTGATTTAACCTCATTATTCTGATCAAAATTTAACTGCCTCAAATATGTTTGAAGAATTGTTTCGGTCCTGTTTTATATTCAAAAAATCATGTCAAGCATCCATTTTGTTTTCTAAATAAAAACATTAAAAACCAATTAATATCTCAAGTAATTTATTTTATCAGTATGCAATATAAATGTATATTAAATTGAAGATTAATCATGATTAATTCACAGCTACTTTGGGATTAATCATATTAAAATATTAATCATTTGACAGCCCTAGAACTTCACATAATTTAGAAAACCTTCTTGCATATTTACCCTTAGTCTAAGAATAAGAATAAGTGCTTCTATTATAAAGAACACTACTAATTAGGTGTCGTTTAGTATTACTAAAATGTATTAAAGTCTAATTTTGAAGTGTTTGAATTTCAGCAGTACTTTTCGTCTGTGCCGGACCAACCACTAGCTAACAGCTAAAGCTACTTGCTAATGTGTGACATTTGTTGGCACACAGGAAGCTGACTTGTCAGTTTTACTTTGCAAAGTCTACTCGGGGAACAGTGCTAAAGTGCTGAACATGATGTTAGCAGCTAGCAGTCTGTAAGTGCTTCAAAAGGCCACAGTTAGCTAACAGCGGCTAGGCAAAGCACAACGCTGAGGAGCCCATTAACTACGTGGCAGTCAGGCCAGATGAGCATCTGACACAGCAGCTTCAAGCAAGCGGCGAGTCTCAGCATCCACCGTCGTTCATTTTCAGCTTTTGTTAGCCCAGTTAGCATGCTAACGTCAATTAAGACCGGTCCAGCTAGCGACTGTTAAAAAGCAGTTTGTACAGAAAACATCTCGTCATTACTCCCAAATTATTAACAACTCTGAAGATTAACGCACTCCTGTTACTACAGACTAAATAAAGCATGGCAGCTCCGCAAACTACTGCGTCACTCCATTCCCCGTTGTTGTTTATTTATTGCCCAAAAAATGTTACTTTAAAGTGTTTTCCTTAGCCTACCTTCAATCTTGCTTCCACGGAAAGAGAGGAATCAGTGCGCATGCGCGGAGTTTTCTTTACGGATGGGCGCGAGAGGGGAGGGTGGCCCTGGGCCCTCCTCCCTTCCGTTCCGCAGGTCCGCTGAGGACAGCATTGTATGGAAGCCCATTTCAGCCATCCTGATAAAAAAATAAACTTGTATCTCATAATTATGACTTAGCTATCTCATTATTATGAGATACTATCTCATAATTATGACTTAGCTAAGTATTATTAATTATGAGATACTATCTCATTATTATGACTTAGCTATCTCATGAGATAGCTAAGTCATAATTATGAGATACAAGTTTTATTTATTTTTTTATCACGTGGCGGAAATGGGCTTCCATAGAATGGGCTTCCATAGTCCTGCAGTTAGTGCTCATTAAAAATAAAAAATAAACACTGTCGGCCATGATTACCTGAAAACAAGTATTATGATAAAATTAAAACAAAAATGCTTACGTTACTGATTTTATTTACAAATGTTAATATTACAGACAGGGGCGGAGTGGGTAATCGGGACAATTGGGACGAATCCTGCTGGGCTGGATCATTAATGTGTGTTGAGCTGCCTTCTGCAGCATAAACAACGAGTTACAGGCTACAACTGGGAGAGGTATGACTCCTCTGATAATGTTCAGCCTTTGATAAAACTGTAGTCTGTACAAAGAACCAGAAAATAAATCAAAATTTCCCCACGACAGTTTTTTCAACCAAAACTAAGTGCAGTTATGTCCTGACGCGTCTCAGTAATCCAGGTAAAAAATCAAAAAGATAAAAAAAATAGTATAGGTCTTCTGGACGGGTTCTTCTCTAATGAAACGTTTCGTCTCTCCTCCAAGAGACTTCTTCAGTCTGAGAGTTTCAGGCAAAATTCAGGCTTTTAAGCACTGCCTCCATGTGACTGATACTCACATCACATGGCTATTGTTGACACCTAATTAACACCTATTGTTAACAGGGGGTGGAGTGATACTGGCAATAGCMGCGCTGTAGGAGGGGGACARCTGAAAACGGAGGCCTCCACCTCTGTTTAATGATGGACGGTCTTTCTTHACAAAAATGGCTTCTTTTACTCCTCTCTCAAACCAACGTTCCTCTCTATCAAGAATGAGAACATCCTCATCTCTRAAAGAGTGACCGCTGGCCTGTAAATGAGTGAAAACTGCAGAGTTCTGGCCGTTAGATGTAGCCCGTCTGTGTTGGGACATTCTTTTGCACAGTGGCTGCTTTGTTTCCCCGATGTATAACTGGTCGCAGTCCTCCTGGCACTTAACAGCACTTAACACCCCCCACCCCCGTACTATGTCCCACCCACCCCACTTTGAACCCCTAAAAACAAGTTTGACAGTGTAAGTTACTATGGTAAATTTAGATTTATTTGCTTTCCCAGAAAGCAAATAAATAGCAACATACATGTCAACTTGTACGGATTGTCCGTAAGTTATAAGGATTTTACGTCATTTTGCAGGTATACAGATGTATAGGATTTTTTCAAAACCTCATTTTCAAATTTATCTAACATGTCAGAACCTGTAGGATGATTTAAAAAACAATAAATAACATTAAACAGCCATCTTCCAACCTGTTCTGCTGCTAGAAATAAGTTTTGAACTTTTTTCGCTCTCATTTCCTCCTGCTACGCAGCGGGCGCTTTCACAACCCCAGCGAGGCTGACAACACCCCCGCCCCCCGGGTGCGAGTTGTATGGATTTTTTGCAAAATTTACAGATTTTACTAGGCTTTTTTATACAGGTAAATGCCCGAAGAGGTTGACATGTATGGGACAATAAAATACAGATTTATTGAGTTTATCAACATGAACCAGTACCTGAGAGGCACTACTAGCCCCTCCCCCATCAGAGTGTCTGAGCAGGATGAGTCAGTGCAACGTCAGTAAAATGAGAGAGAGGGTGGGGGCAATTGCTGCATTGGGGCTTTTTATACAGGTAAACATCCAAAGAGGTTGACATGTATGGGACAACAAAATACAGACTTGTTATTGAGTTTGTCAACATGAATCGCTACCTGAGAGGCACTACTAGCCCCTCCCCCGTCAGAGTGTCTGAGCAGGATGAGTCAGTGCAATGTCAAGCAAATGAGAGAGAGGGTGGGGGGGGGATTGCTGCATGGGGGGTATGTTTTATGGGTAGAGTAGTTAATTTTTCTTGTCATACTTCATTATAGTTTTTTAAGACAAATCTAACTGAAAGGGGCGCTGAGCGGAGTTACAGCCAGGGATAACAAATAATTACTTTTTTTTCTTCTGCAGTTCGGCACCCCCTCCAGCAGATGGCGGTCTAGGCGACCGCCTAGTTCGCCTATGCCAAGAGCCGGTTCTGGAAGGGAACACAAAAATGACTCAGCCTGCAAATGAAAATATGGATGGAGGACCTCAGTTTAGCTTGTTTGTCATGCTAGCACCAAGCTTATACATATAAGCAAAATAGAGCCAGTGCTAGCCCAAAAGCTAACAGGCTTTTTTTGTTGTTGTTTATAGCGTGCAGGGATAATTTATAAATCAGAACCCACAAGAGCACAAGAAACAAAAAAAGGCACTGATGATGCAGAAATTAAGAA